AATGGTCTTAAGAAAATTATTACCCACCCTTAAGTCCGATTCGATTTTGAAGCATTCTCAAGGAAAAAAACAAGAGGTTGCCTGAACTCTGATTGACCTATTCAAAAGGTCGCTAGTGCACTCGGCAGTTTCAAAAAATAATTGCAAGAGCTTTATAGAACTATCGTAAAGCCGAATACTAAAGAAGTCCGTAGCAAGAAATTGTTAAATTCACGCTGGGTATCTTCGATATAATAAAAGATTTACGTGCGTTTCAAATAAATTCCTAAAATCAAATGCCAAAATATTTAGAAAGTTTTTTTTCTCTAAGGTCATTTTGATACTGAGTTTATTCTCTTAAATAATAAAGAGAAGAATTGTCTATTCTTTTAATAGAGAAACTTCTATTCTGAACAACACAAATTCAAAGCTATATAAAATTTACGTTTTTTTCTATTGTCAATAGAAAAATTTTATTGTCATACCGAATCGACATTTAAGTAATACCATAGTACAGTAGAAAAATCACTTGAAAAATATACGAGAAATGACACATAAAGAAATAGAAAAATTAAGAATAAATCACGATTGGGTAGCATTATCGATTTCTATATAACGTGTGATCATCATGCAACATTGTACAGTCACGATTTTACGTTCTAGAATAAAATTTTCAGAACTGAATTACATCGACGAACTTTCGCGATCTCGTGGCGATACTCGTCGCGAGGCGACAATGCATCGTTACCATAAACGCCGGGGCCCGTCGTAATGAGACGTGACGTCACGACATGGCGTCTGCAGGTGAACAGCGGTGGTACCGTGAGCGCATTCGCTAGTCCGATTGGCCGAAGGGGGAATCCCCGCCCTTGTGCTGTTGCGACGAGCCCGCGTGTCCCCTCTAACCCTCTCCTCCCACCCTCACCCCTTTCGCGCGACTCCGCGAATCTCTATCTTTCTCTTCCTTTCGCTACTCTCCACTCCATTCCATTCTCCGTTCCTCTCCTATCTTCCGTTTCCTTTTCCCTTCTACACTGCTCGAGCGGCATAATTGTGCTGATACGCGTACGAGTGTGGGTGCTGTGCGCACAGTCACGCACAGCACGCACAGGCACGCACGCAGACACGCATTCACATTCGTGCGCATCGCGCGGAAATTCTCAGATGGAGACCATCTACAGCTATAGCACAATGACGAGTGCCTTTGCGACAAATTCCACCCTCATCCCTTTCGCGCGACTTTGTAAATCTTTATCTTTCTCTTCCTTTCGCTACCCTTCTTTCCATCCCATTCTCCGTTCCTCTCCTATCTTTCGTTTCCTCTTCCTTTCTACACTGCTCAAACGGCATAATTGTATCGATACGCATATGAGTGTGGGTGCTGTGCGCACAGGCACGCACGCAGCACGCACCCATACTCGTACGCATCGCGTGGAAATTCTCAGATGGAGACCTGTTACATCTACACCTATACACAATAAGTGTCTTCGCGATAGATCTCTCCCAGGTTACTCTTTCTCTCTTTCTCTCTCTCTCTC